TGGGATGGGAAAGCTAAACTTGAAAAATTATGTTATGTTAAACCATCGGAATAGGGTGAAAGGTCACAGGCCGAAAATAATTTAATGACATCTTTGAGCCTGAAATGAGAACTTTCGGTTTCCTCCTTGAAAGGTGATCAGTGTTTGGGAATAACTGCAGATAAAACCCTCGACTTGTTTCTGAACTAGTTTCAGAACTAAAGGAGTACTAAAATGGGACAAACAGCTTTCATCATCTGATATGAAGGTATGTAGACACTTCATTGGAATTGCATGGATCTTCCTTTCATCTGTCATTTAGGTGAGATGTCAAACTGAGCCCATTGTCTTTTCAGCTGGGTGTAAAAGATCTCTTGGCATAACTTTCAAGAAAAGCAGGGCATTCTCTGTGGAGTTCTGGCCCAAAGATACCCGTCAGCAGATTAAAGCAGATTATCAGCTCATTATTTTACTGCTGTTTGCAGGAGCTTACAGCATAAAATTGTCTGCTACGTTCCCTCGTAACGTTAGTGACTACACTTCAAATTAGTTCATTGTTTCAAAGCACATTGGGATGCCCTCAGATCTTGAAGGGTGCTATATAAATGCAAGTCTTTCTTTGCCAGATGTGGAAGTAATTTCTGCCATGCATTTCTAGCACTTAAAAAAAATTCTCTGTCTTTGGTTGTTAATTGTTTTTCTTTCTGCTATACCTATTCCTGAGACATCCGTAAACCTACATTCTGTAAACACACTGAAAATCCAAGGTTTAAGGAGCAGTTCAGCCTCACTGAAAAGCTCACCTACAGGAAAACATTTGATAATGCTTCTGTTTGGATTGAGATGGTTAAATATTAATGGCTCATAAATGATAAATGGCTGTTCCGTATTATTCCAAAGTGGGATATTCCTTGTCAGGATGTAATTGTTCAAAGGAATTGTACTGCACAGCTCGCTGTCAGCATCTAGCAACACACTGGAATGAATTTTCCAATTCCAAAGTTATAATCATTTTTAGACAAATATATTGTACAAAACATTTGCAGGGCTAAGAGGAAAGAAATGATGACATGGATCAGATTGGATAGCTTTTCCAAAGAGCTAGCACAGATTTGATGGGATGAATGGCCTCTTTCTGTGCAGTACAATGCAGATTGTGTTTTGCTTCCATTCTGCTCTTGTCAAGGTGAGGAATTAAAAGGTTCTACTTCCCAAACACTGTCTGGTTATACAATAAGCAGACAGGAATGAATAAAACATTCTTCAATCCTTCCAGAGAGCTTCTTTTCCTTGCGTGAGTGATCTGAAAAAGCACATCTTTCGATCTGGCCTGAGGTGAGGAGGAATTTCTTCACTCAGAGGATGATGAATCTTTGAAATAGTCAACCCCAGATACTCCATTATCAGGTTCAAGATCAAGTTCAATGGAATTTTGAACTGTCAGGGAAACATTGAAACATAGAAAATGGTGTAGGAGTAGGCCATTCAGCCCTTCGAACATGCGCCACCATTCAATACGATCATGGCTGATCATGCAATTTCAGTATCCCATTCCCGACTTCTCCCCATACCCCTTGACCCCTTTCACCACAAAGACCACATCCAGTTCCCTCTTGAATATATCTAATGAACTGGCCCAAAAAGCTTCCTGAGGGAGAAAATACCAAACATTCACAACTCTCTTGAGTGAAGAAATTCTTACTCATCTCGGTCCTGAATGGCTTACCCTTTATTCTTCCCCAATACCGGGAACGTTCTTCCCCCATCTAGCCTGTCCGGTCCCATCAGCATTTTATATGTTTCTATGAGATCCCCCCTCATTCTTCTACATTCCAGTGAGTACAAGCCAATTTGATCCAGTCTGTCTCCATATGTCAGTCCTACCATCGAGGGAATCAGTCTGGTGAAACTTCACTGGACTCCTTCAATAGCAAGAAGGAAGGAGGGACCAGGCAAGAATGTGGAGTTGTGCTATAAGATCAGCCATGATCATCTTGAATCTCCTCAGCTCCCTGCCCTGAGGAGACAAAGGCACTAAATCCAACACAACCTGGAGACTTCTTGTTCATTCCTTATACTCGTTACCCAATGGAATTCCATTGCTAGATCCTCCTGCCATTCCAAACCCCAAAGAACCTCCCTGCCCACACAGCTTTCAAAAAATAACTTTCTCCAGAACCCGCTCTGCCAGCCCACTTTTAGCCCCTGCTTTCCCACCTATGCAGCATTCTCTATTCCCCTTAATGTGAACTGCAACATATGCTCCTGTTACTGACCGAGGGCGGGTCATGTTTGTATACCTGCAATCCAGATTCAGAAAGGGTTGTGCTGGTTTAGTGTTTGCCATCAGGTCAATAATATTGTTACAGTAGAATTCTACAGTTGTAGCACACGTTCACTATCTGCTAAACTGACCATTGTTGGCTCAATTGTAGAGATAGTAGCATTGGGGTAATATCACTAGATTAGTAATCCAAAGGCCTAACCAAAGCTTTGGAGATGCGGTTTTCAAATGTAGCTGGTGGTATTTCAGTTTAAAATGAGTAACGAAAAGTATTACCAAATCATTCAGGAATTGTTGGTGGTTACAATGATGGTGACTACAAAACTATCAATAAAAAGCAACTGGCTCACAAACATCCTTTAAAGGAGGAAATCACCTGGTGCCCTTCCCTGCCCTGACCTGCACGTGACTCCAGACTCACAGCTGAATCTGAAGTGCTCTCTGAAATGGATGGGCAAACCACTCAGGGTATATACATCATGAAAAAAGTTTTAAAAATTGGTTTTTGTCAATTAATATCTCTTCAAGAAATAATGTAGCACGTGCTCACCAACATCAGAATCACAGAATTGATATGGTGCGGAAGGAGGTCATTCAGTCCTGCTCTGGTTCTATTACCTATCGATTGAGTGATAATGAGATTGCAACGTTTCACACAACATTAAATTGCTTTTAAAAAAAATTGAAACAGCTCATATTTTTGATATTATAACCTCCTTTCTATTTTGCCACTGTTACTAGGCTGAGCCGCTCCATTTAGAGTTAGTGGGTGCCAATTTTGCATCACGCCAAGAGAACCTAAGTAGGTTGCTTCTAAAACTGCCTAAAGAACGTAAAACTAAAGGTTATTCTCTTTTTCACCAGATTTGAGCTCATTAAGGTGAAGCATATTACTGCAGGTTAAATGGAGAGTAAACCTTGCTCTAAACCAATGTGCTTTATGACTTAATTCCCTATAATATCAGTGATATTTCTCCATTATGTGAAAGGTGCCATGGAATGTCAGGATTTTTTTGTGAACCAACTCTCCTTTTCCTTTTATCTCAAAATATTTTTAACCAAATTTAAATTTACATTGGATTTGGACCCATATTCTCTGAAAGATGAGTTGGAGCCTCTGGATTACTAGTCAAGTATTATAATCACAATGTTACCACACCTGACTGCCAAGCTCATTTTAAACAGCACTCATGCAGACAGAAAGCAAATAAAAACTGCATTCCATCAACTTTGTTGCACTTAATGGCTGATCTGCAAGGTGAAATACCAAGCCAGCTGACCCATTGAACTAGGCTCTCTGTTGCAGCACATGAAACAACATTAAACAGGATCATCAAACAGAATCAATTGAGAGCTCAGGAGATAATCAACCTTGTCCTTTTGTGAATTGACCCATGCCCAGGTAAGGATGGTGGAAGAGCTGGGAACTACAACTTCTTCGAGGTGGAGGAACTTTTTTGAAGAGGACTTGTCTTTTCCTTAAATATAGGTGAGGAGGGTGATTGGGAGACCACCTCACATATTCCTTTCCCTCATTGTCTTGGCCATTGAAATTGAAAATGGGACGCAATTATCAGTGACTGATAAAGAGGAAAGATTGGAGGCACAGAGAATTGGCAGAGGGTATGCCTTAGGTAGATCACCACTGGATCCCTAGATTTGAATGACCAGTAAATCTGTTTTTCTTCAGTGCTTTGGTTATAGGAGGACTTGGGGAGAATCCCCTGTTAATGTCATGGGACATTTCTTCTTGAAAAGTAGACAAAGATCTGGAATTATGCTTCATTCAAAGGACAGCATTGTGTACAAAAGCAGAAGTTGCTGGAAAAGATCAGCAAGTCTGGTTCAGTTCTGAAGAAGGGTCACCGGTCCCAAAACGTTAACTCTGATTTTTTCTTCACAGATGCTGCCAAACCTGCTGAGCTTTTCTACCAACTTCTGTTTTTGTTTCTGATTTACAGCTTCCACCGTTCTTTCAATTTTTAGACAGCGTTTCGCATGTATTGTAACCCCCCAGCTAAAGTTGCTTTCAACTGAACCACGCTAACACTGACTGCCCTTCGTGTGGCAACCGGGGCAAGGGGAATAATAAATTACCTTTGACCCCATGAATTACAGCCAATGGTGCATTGACAATTCTTCAAGCTTCAGTCCACCCATCACGCTGAGACAAGAAGTTTCCATTGATGCAGCTTTACCGAGGCTGGAATCAGGAGGTAACAGTCAGGATGTTGATTGAATGTGGCCCCTTTTAAAAGTTCAAGGGCTATTTCCCCAAAACCAGTAAAAGCACAATTGCGATGGTGATGACGCTAGTTCATGGTTTGCACCAGATTCAAGAAGCCCCCCACCAAAACCTTACAAAATTAGCATGAAAAAGCCTGAAAGAAATTTCCTAAAATTTGGTATCTGACTTTTTTAAAGAGGGATTACCTAATTATAAGGAAAAATATATGGTTAGCAGAAGATCTACAAGTTACCAGGAAATTGCAGTGTGCAAATGAGAACCTTTCCGATAGTTTCTGACTTTCCCCATCTCAGCCTGTGGGGTAGGTGCACCGAACAACTTCTGTAGGTACATGGTAACTAGCTATGTGAAAGCTTGGTGAGGGCACAGAAAGCACAAGTGAGTCCAGTCACAGAAAGCACAGATGGTAGAGTGGATGCTTTAGGCTATAAGGACAGTAGTTAGCAGCTGTGCATGTTACTGTGAGTCCAGAAGGGTTTGGAGAGCCCATCACATCAGAACCTGCTCCCGGGTTTCAGGAAGTCGGAGACCAAGCAGGGCACCTCCTACTAATGCAATGGAAGCCAGCAGGACAGGAACCACCTTCGTTATCTCCACAAATGAGGCAAATATTGATATACCGAGTATGGCAGCAAACTTTGACAGTCCATTCAGAATACCAAAAGCAGTTGCCCTATGGAAAGAAAGGCAGATTTAGATCATTACCAATCATAGCAAAATATATTTTACAGACAGCGTTCTTATGAAAGTCTTGTGGCATAGTGGTAGTGTCCCTACCTCTGGGCCAGTAACTCTGGGTTTAAGGACCAGTAACTCTGGGTTCAAGGACCATGCCAGATACTTGTTGGCCATGGATATGTGTATTTGTAATGTGGCCAGACAGGTTGATTTGTCAGCCTGTAAATCTTTCCAATACACCTGATGACTGGTGAGGAAATACAGAAAAATCCCTTGGTCAGCCATTCTGCAGAAGGCAACAGCATACCACTGCCATACCTTGCCCATGAGCATAGGCCAATCCAATTGAAGACCATGGGCCAAACCCTGGGAATGAGGATGGGAGAAGAGACAGTCAAATAGCAATCTTACAGACATTCCAATTACCAGGGAGATCATATATGAGACATATGAGGTAATTTCTCGAAATGGGGTCCCACCATGGCAAGACCGTAACGTTTGAACTTTCAGCTTTATTTCTTTATTTTCTACTTAAAACTAAGAAGGTGTCACTGTACTATAATCACTGCAATGTTTAACGTTTAACTTTGTTCTTTCTTCCTACCTTGTTCTTAAGATTCTGCACCCAGATACTTGTACCTAAGATGGCACCTTGTGTGGCGACATGATGCACTTTTCACTGCAGTCCTGTACTTTTGTACTTGAGTACATGTGACAACGAAATCAAAATTAAATTAAATAATGATAACCTGTGGTTTGATGATATTAAGTTCCAAAAAATTTAGACATAAATCGGGAAAGTTCAGAGGAAGAATGATCTTAAGCTGTTTTAATAATTTTTAATATGCAATGTCTTGTAATGTACTTTTACAAACATTTTACTGATAAAAAACAATGAAGGCTCCCTGCTGGTAGGGGCAGTTTCAAAAGGGCTTTACTATCTTATGTCTCACCTGCGCTATAACTAGGCTGAGGAATTGTCTGATACTGATACAGGGTGCCTGAAATACAAAAGCGTTGTTTAGCCCCTCAATGCTTACCCTCACCTTGAAGAGCAGAATATTGACAATATGAAGCATGTTGCAAAGCAAGAAGATTTTGTTCTGCCTTTGCATCCCAAATAAACCACCATGTGCTGTAAACTATTGGGAAGGACTCAGACCTACCTTTTATCTGTGGAATAAAGTTCCACTGTGATCACATCCAGTGCATTCCACGCTGCTATACTGACCCCACAGAACAGACACTGCATTCCAATCATGGCTGACTCACTGTTGCCAAAAAACAGGAAGAAGCAGGTAATGGTCGACAACAGCATGGATCCTCCTTTAAGACAAAATTAAACAAGAGTTGCCACATTACAACATTCACTGCGGAAGACACTTTGAGACATTTTGATAGGACAAGGCTTCAGTAGTCTGTGTACCCATCATTTGATTGACTAGGCATCTAAGTCCTTTTGCTCCTGCCCTGAGAAACTCTTCTAACTGAGGCACAGTGTGGAAATGGCAGTTGTTATCAGGCCATAAATTAGCTCCCAGTTCCCCAAAACACATTGGGAAAGGCAGAAGTTATTCTGACAGTGAGAATAGCTATTTCAACCAATTAATCTTAATAATTTATGCTTGGAGCCCAAAGTACATCAAACCAAAAGTAGACTATTTCAACAGCATTGACTAAAAGTTGTGTTTCTGTTCCATTTTGAACACACTTAAAGGGAAACTGCAATCACAACAGAAGACTAGGTTCAATTAGCTGGACAGCTGGTTTACAATTCAGCACTGAAGCCAACAGCACAGGTTCTATTCCTGCTCCTTCTCAACCTCTTAGTTTGCCCGAGGTGTGCTGATTTGCAGGTTAAACCACCGTTAATCATCTCCGTCAATGAGAGAGTGGGACTAGGGTGACTCTACCTTTCAATTGGGATGCAACACCGTAAGGGCTCCCCCCCTCACCTTTCCCCTGTGGTGTCATCCTGACTATGGAGACACCAGAGGCAGCTGTGTCCTCAGAGAGTCGAAAATCAAACCAACATTTGCTATGTGGAACAGAGGGATGTACAAACAGGAATTGGCTATTCAGTCCTTTGAATCTGTCCCCCAGTGGGCAGTGGGCTCCCTATAGGTACCTTGTGGCTGTAGATTCACATTGGACAAGGAAAGATCACTTAAATTAACCCACGGTAATGTGATCTTCCTATTTAAAGAGTCACTATCTTTGTAAAGAAAATTCCTGCCAGCCTCTTTGTTCATATTACAAAGTGTAAACTGATGAAGTAGATCATCTAACCTTACAAGATCCTTATGGGACTTGACAGGGTAGGTGCAGAAAGGTCATTTCTCGTTATGAGATAGTCCGGGACCACAGAATACAATCTCACTGTAAGAAGTTGTTCAGTTCAGACTGAGATGAGGAGGTATTTCTTTTCTCAGGTGGTACTGAATTTGGGACATTCTCTACTGCAGAGGGCTGTAAAGACTGGCTCGTTAAGTATGTTCAAGGAAAATAGAGACAGGTCTTTAATCTGTAAGAGAATCAAGGACTATGGGAGATAAAGCAGGAAAGTGAAGTTGAGGAAAATCAGATCAACTGTGATCTCCTTGAATAGTGGAACAGATACAATAGGTTGAATAGCCTATTTCTGCTCCTTCTTCTTATGGTCTAATCTTGTCGGGTATATATAACTTTGTGTAACTAATAGTGATCTTCCTAAAGAGACAAGGTTGGGGAATACATTCCCCCTAAAAACATTGTCCTTTTAAAGACTTATGTTTTGCTGAGACAGGTTACACAATGCTGTGGAGGGGGTATGGGATTTTGGAATTGTTTGCCATGAACATGCATTCAGCTGCAGCTGACTGTGACTAATATAAAATAAACCTTTATTTAAGAACATATGAAAGAGGAGCAGGATACAATTAATGTTTAAAAGACATTTGGATAATTACATGAACAGGAAAGGTTTGGAGGGATATGGACCAGGAGCAGGCAGGTGGGACCAGTTTAGTTTGGGATTATGCTCGGCATGGACTGGTTGAACTGAAGGGTCCATTTCTGTGCTGTATGACGCTATGACAATGACTAATACCCTCAAGTCCCTCCCACCATCAACTTCACTTTCCTGCCCAAATGCCGTATTCCTTGTATCCCTGAAAGGTCAGAAGTCGGCCAATCCCAGCCTTGAATATACTCAACAATGGAGCATCCTCTAGAAACAGAGAATTGCAAAGATTCTCAAGCTTCTGAGTGAAGATATTTCCTCCTCATCTCCAGCCTAAATAAGTAACCCATTGTACTGAGGTGCTGCTTCCTGGATTCCTGAGCCAGGTTTCCCGAATACCCTGTCAAACCCCTTCTTAATCTTCCATGTTTTTTCAATGAGACAAAACCTCATTCTTCTAAACTGCAGACACTAGATGCCCAATTTACTCAGAATCTTATCGTAGGACGACTTTCTCATCTCACAGGAACTGATCGAGTGAACCTTCGCTGTATCCCTTCCAAAGCAACTAGATCTTCCCTCAGAAATGGGGCTAAAAGTGCCCGTCACACTCCAGGTGTGATCACGTAAGTCCAATACAAGTGTAAAAAGGCTTCCATGTTCATCTGCTCCACTCGCCCTGGAATAAAGATCAATGTGCTATTTGCTTTCCTAATTGCTTTTTACAAAAGGCATGGAGTATTGAATAGTCACTTGCTTTTGACTTTAAAATCAAGTTAGGGAGCAGGTGGGATGATGCAGTGCTGTAGTGCTCCTATAAATACATTTTTGTGGTCTGTTTCTCTTCCAGTAACATTTTTCTTGGAATTGTTGATTCCTGGAAAGATACAAATTAACACAGGCACCATCTGGCCTTCTCAAAGATTAGGGCCAGCACATTTTAGGTATGAGCCTACACAGTGAATATTGGCAATACAAGAGTTTAACAACTGAATCACCTCCTGTTGCTATGTGACGGTTATGTATCTCCAACAGGAATCACAAGGCAGTGATCAAGGGCAGGAGTCCTGGATGTTCCATCACCTCCTAGCTCAGGGCAGTGCACTGAAATAATTCTTTGATCAGTTTTTCATCTCTGTGCATTTCTCTGTAATCCTCTGTCTCCACTGGAAGTTCCAAGAGGCTTCATCAAGCAAGCAGTGCAGACCCGATCTTGAATAAGGAAAGTTTAAATGTGGGGCTCATGGAGCAACAATTAGCATTTTGAGTAAAGTATTGGAGGGTATCTGATGTCCATGGAGCTGTTCGCAGGCTTGTGTTGGGTGCCTTCAGGAGTGGCGGGGAACAAACAGGGATAGGGGGAGGACGGGAGTAGACAGGGGTGGGAGGAGAAGGGGAGTAGATGGGGTAGGGGATAGAGGAGGCAAGTCGACAGGGGTACGGTGTGGTCACTGACTGCTAAATGGAGGAAAATAAACTCAGACAAAATGTTCTCAAGGATTCATAGTCAGGTTCAGGTAAAGGAAAGGGAGGGAGTGAGTTTGCCCATGAGAAGTGTGACAAGACTGACCGAGTGAAAAAAAGGAAAGCCTGTGGTGAATATCAAAGGTCGAACACACAATAACAGCAGGATAACAAATGGCAGCATCTATAACTTGGAACAATTTAAACATAAGAGAAACTTGCACTCTACAAAACCACAATGTATGCACTTAAATAAATATAAATGTTAACTATTTACATGAAAATATAACATAAATGACAGGGCCCACTGTGCAGAACAGCAACAAGGCTGTCAAGTGTAGGATATGGGCTAATGAATCCTGGAGACAAAAAAATTAAGTCAATAACTGCTTTTTGACAAATGACCCACAAATGACCTTCTCGGAAATCAGTCTGAAATCCATGGAATCGTCTGGCTCCATTAGTGGGCTGTATGGAGATAAAGAAATCTCAAGATGATTTGAACCCCTTTTGAGTTTAAACTGGGAAGCTGGAGAAAGCAGTTCTCTCACCAAGTGATTTGAACACCGCACAACGAAGCCTGCCTCATGGGTTTCTGTAAGTTGGCCGTAATTGATTCTAAAAATGACAGATCTGCCTGACTGAAATTTCTTGCTGGCTTCAGATCTGTTGAGCATTACAGAAATGAGAAAATCCATCAGCTGACTGAGCTTCATCATTCTTGCCTTAAGCCTATTTCATTACAAAGGCAAGGCCATAAAAAGTGAGTTTCTTCCTTAATTGAAGCACAAGGTATTGATTCAGAGTAGTATATCTGCCATTTCTTTTTCATTTATGCCCCTTTCATCGGTATTTTCCTCCAAATTTACAAGATTTATCCATCAACTAAAACAGTCCCAATATCAAATCAACTGGCTGTTGGAGATGTGTCTTCTTTGAAAGTTACTTTTTCCCCACAGGTGACCTATTGAACTCTCCCTTACCTACCTACCTCCATCTTATAATGCCCAAAATTATACAGTGAGATTCTTCAACACATTCTACAATCATTGGGACATCTCTTGTTGAGGATAGGCAGTCCATGGAAGTCAACCCTTGTCGGAATCCTATCTACTTTCTGTCCATCTTGCTAGATGGTGACAATGGTGTTAGAGCTATGGAACTGGAGACAGATCACCAAAGCGAAGCCCAACGACAATACAGTGAAGTGGATGAAAGCCTTTAAAGTCCCTCCCAATCACCGGGCCAATCAGCCAACCAACAGTGATGGAGACATTCTCCATTGCAGGAGAATGACAAACACTCAGGTGAACAATGTTTTCCCACAAACATTCCAGATCTAACAGAGGCCCAAGCAAATTGCACAAGGGCAGAGCCACCACGTAGAGTGCGCTGGCAGCAACAGGGTGACAGTGCAGAGAAAGCACCATCTGCCATTTTACAGTTGAATGATGTGAGGAAGCTCATCTCATCTCAGTTCCACAGAATACCGACTGCATAATGAATCCCTGATTCCTGACACTCTTTTAAGGACCGACATCTCTTCCCTTTTTCCCACTGACAGCAGGTTTTTATGAGCTTTTCTTCGAATACTGAAAGTGCCTTTGACCTAACTTTGCCAAGATGTGTGACATTGAATCCTCCAATTAAAACACTTCATCATTCCTTCAGTTCCAGCCCTAGAACTACACCCTTTTGTTCTCTTGCTCCATCCATTGCTTTCCTTTTTATTCACGGGATGAGGGTGTCACTGGCCAGGCCAGCATTTGTTGCCCAGACAGCAGTTAAGAAACAGGCAACCACAATACTGCCTGGAGTCACATGTAGGCCAGACCAGGTAAGAATGGCAGCTTCTTCCATTCCACTAAAGGACATTAGTGAACCAGGTGGGATTTTCCTGACAATCGATCCATGGTCATCATTAGATGTTTAATTCCAGATTTTTATTGAATTCAAATTCCACAATTTGCTGTGGCAAGATTCAAACCCGGATACCCAGATCATTACCTGGGTCTCTGGATTAACAGTCGAGTGATAATACCACTAGGCCATCACCTCCCTGTTAAAAGTATGTTCAAACTTTACCTTTTCTATCCCATCCAATTTCTTCCAACCCTCCATAACATTCCCTCTGTGAGATCCTTTTTGAAGGTGAAGAGTCTCAATGTCAGTGAAGCTCACAGCTCATCTCCCTGGTACTGACAATCAGCCCTCATTGATCCATTTGTACCTCCAGGATGGAAAGAACTTCACTTTGCTACATCAAGTGGATCTCTGTGACACTCCAGTTGATGCCTTCCCACTGCATTAAGCCTGCCTTCCCATGACCTGTGCACAAATGAATGACAATACAAACTAGCATTGTAATTACCGAGACGTTGGCTTTCTCAAGGGGTTCCCCTGTCTCAAAGAAGATCCATGGGAACTCTGAAGAAACAAGGAATGTAGCACTGTTTCTCCAGACATTTCATGGATCTTCTGCCAAACATACCTCAGGAGAACTCCCAAGGGAATGCTGCCTCACATGTTTGAACACAGGTAGTGAAAATGACAAGCAAGTAGAGGCCAGCAAGTCCATCAAACCTGTCCCAGACCATCCAAGGACAACAATACTTGGCCCAGCTCCTTCTTTGAGGAAGGGTGAGCCGGCACCATATCACACATAACCAACAATTCAGTCCAAAGGCTCAACTACCTCAAGGAAGGGGGAACTATCTAACATCAAAGCTATAAGAAATTGTATAAGGACATTCCCACCAACGACAGGTCAATCTATTTAATCAGTGATGTGTTAGGTTTTAGAAAAGTAATCACGGGAAGAAAAATAACAGGCACTTAATGACCCAGCCTGCACAGACCACAGTGGTTAAAAATTCCACAGATTCACTATCCTCTTGAGAGAAAAAAAATCCTCCTCATCTCTGTCTGAAGTTGAGTGACACTGATTATATGGTTCTGGTTGGACCAACGCTGTAGCCAGTTCTGGTCCACACTTTATAAAGGTGTAGGGATCTTGAGAGGGTGCCAAGATGATTTACCAAATGGTTTCAGGGATGAGTGAATTCAGTTCTAAGGCCAAGTCAAATTAATCTGCTTGGAGGAAAGGAGCTTGAGGGAAGATATGAGGTGAACAAGATTATGTCAGGTTTAAGATAGACAAAGAGAAGCTGTTCTTTTTTTGTTGATGGTACAAGGACTAGCAGACACAGATTTAATGTTTTGGGCAGGAGATAGTAACAGGATGTAAGGAAAAACACAGTGAGAGTGATAATGACATGGAACTCCCTACATGTGAGGATGGTACAAGGGGACGGTATTGATGGTTTGAAAAGCAAATTGGACGAGCCATCGAAGGAAATTAACTTTGCGGGGCTACAGTAGGGGAATGGAATCAGAATCCCTACAGTGTGGAAACAGGCCCTTCAGCCCAACAAGTCCACACCAACCCTTGGAGCGTTCCACCCAGACCCATCCCCATCCCCATATAACCCACATACCCCTGAACACTATGGGCAATTTAGAATGGCCAATCCACCTAGCCTACACATCTTTGGACTGTGGGAGGAAACCAGAGCACCCAGAGGAAACCCACGCAGACACAGGGAGAATGTGCAAACTCTGCACAGACAGTCACCCGAGGCTGGGATTGAACCTGGGTCCCTGGTGCTGTGAGGCTGCAGTGCTAACCACTGAGCCACTGTGGAACTGACAGGATTTCTCCACAGAGAGCTGGTGTGGACCCAATGTCCTACATAGCCTCATTCTTTGCTACAGTGGCTCTGTAAACAAAGTGCATAGCCCCATATCACCCCCAATCCATCACATGGTGAGCAACAAACCAATTGGATACCCAGTTGTCATTCAGCTCCCACCATTCCCATCAAAAGATTGACATTTTTATGAGGTTGTAAATGGCTACTCACCAATCATCTTAATCCTTCCAACTTTGTCCATAAACAGTGCAGACACAATGTTTCCTGGCAACACAGCCAAAGAGCCTAGGAAACTGACCAGGTAAGTAAGAAACGCAGTTTCAGCATCGTCACTAAAGTCAATCTGACAGCCTTCCTTATTGTGGAGGAAAGTGCTGTTTATAAATCTGCTATGAATGAATCGCGTCTTGAACAGATCTGCAAAAGAAACAAATGTTCGATGTGATGGGATACTCGTCCACAATGAGAGTGAAGGCACCCTCCTCGAATAAAGTGAGGAGAAGCTGCATTCTGAATACCTCCTTCTGATGTACCAGATGTGGTAACATTACGTGATACAATGCAAAGGGAGCTTTGTTCGAAATCTCAGCACGACATAACAGATCTGGGAGATTTGGATATCAATAATGTGCCACCTAAAGTGAAAAAGCTGTCCCACTTCCCCTCACAGACATCTTTCATTTTAATAAACATAAGACCTCGCTGGAAACAAAATTCGACAGACGTAGCGAAACAAGGCCAAGCCTCCTTATCACCTGAGCCTGTCTCTGAAAGATTATTGATGACACCCAAGCTGATCTTGCAATTAGCTATGTTTGCACCTTTGATGGGGTCTTGTGGTGTGATGGTCGTGCCCCTGTTTCTGAGCCAGAAGATCCAGCTTCCAGTCTGACCTGCTACAGAGGTGTGTCACAGCGTGCTTGAAGAGGCTGATTAAAATAATTACCAATGACATTCTCTCATGGACAGTGCTAACGTACTTCTTCACTTTGGCATTGCTGATGGCTGTCTTCCACCTTCACTGTGAAATCATTCCTTTCTCCATTATTCTAAAGCTGCTTTTCTTTCTCTCTCTCTGCCTGTCTCTCTGATTGATCCATCCCCCAACACAGCTCCGAACTGCTACCTCTTCCACTGCCCATTTTTCCTCATCCCCATGCTTTTCTCAGATTTCCTGCATCTGCAACCCTCAATTTGGCCAAATGCCTTTAGTCCAGACTAGTAAAATACAACCCTCAATTTAAACCAGTGCTATTGGCATCCTGAGAAAAGACAAATTTCAGCATCAAATTGAAGGAATCGTTTGACTTTTCCACATTTGGATTTGAATCCAAGTCAAGCAGGTAATACCTATTAGATCAACACAGACAACATAAACACACCATCTGTTAAAAATTAATTACAGTTTGCTATATGAAGTGACAGGGATATAATCAAATCTGCCTCGAGAATTAATAATTCCCTGCCATTTTTAATTATGTCAAGCTCTGTGCTATCTTAATCATTCCATTTCATCCTATCTTAGAACTGAACTGAATTATAAACATCTGCAAATGTAATTTTTAAAAAAATGACTGTTGGTAATGCTATTACACAATTTAACAGAAGGAATTCTCTCCACTTTCTTTAGTCATGGTGTTGATACACGTTATGATACATCGATACTGGTGGTGGGACTTGAACTCAGACTTTCTGACCCAGAGGTAAGAACATTGTCACCACAAAACAACAGCCCACGTTCCACTATTTTAATCCTGGCATTAATGGTCCTTTAGTTTGAAAAAATGATTAGATGGAATTTGTAAAGGGAATGTTAAAGGGTGGCATAATATATGAGTCTAGGAATCTCCAGGCTGTAATGTTGTAATAAAGGTCATCACATTAAAATCTTGTTCTGCACTGTGTAGATTTAGGAGAAAGATGAAATTGTTTCTTCTACCGCACCTCCCAATCTCACAACCTCCACCTTCTAGAAGCTCAGAGGCAGCAGATGCCTGGGAATACCAGTCAATTTCTACTCTGAATTAAAAACCATCATGACTTGGATATATATACACACACGTGTATTGCAGCTCCTTCATCATCGCTGAGTCAAATCCTGGAACTTTTTACCCTAATACGACACTACACGTGCACCTACACCACAGATTACAATGCTTCACGAAGATGATGTACCATCTGCTCCAAAAGGGGGTTGAGTCATTTTCACCAACCTTGCCTCTGATGCCCATATCCCATGAATGAAAATAATAAAAAAATTCACTGAACGCGTGCAGAATAGCAGCTTAGGGGTTCCAACCGGACCCAGCTTCCCCTTGGGCTTGGAAAGGAGGAACAGGGTGTGGCAGACAGAGGTAGTCAGCCGGTGGTTCTGTTCTTGAACACACCCGTTCATAAATGGAGCCAGGCTATCACCAACCAGATCTCTGCATGTGAAGAATGGGTTAAGGAGTCTGGTATCCATGGGTTACCAAAATCAACAAGAATCAGCACTGTCACCGATGGGCAGAAAATCAGAGTTACTAAATTATAATCTGTTTTAGCGTGGGTCTTGAGTAATGAGGGTGGGCTGTTTCCTTCCATCTAATAATGTGTGCAGAATGGGAAACCTACTTGTTGCACTGGCAAATGGAGACAATTATCATTCCCCAACCCCATGGAAGTAGTGGTTGAAACAGACAAAGCACCAGTGTCCCGAAAGGCTAACCTGTGTTATAGAAGAGAGTCGCTGTGAAAGTGCAGTTTCTAAAGTGTGTGTTCGTCGATGTGATGTCTTCAAAGTAGCATTCCTCAAACAAGGAGTCTTCAAAGGTCACAGATTTAAATTTAATCCCAACAAATCTGTCCAGAAATAAATTAGCAATTAGAAAAATACAGGGCTTGGACTGTTACACAGGACAATGTGTCACACATTGGGCAAAATGCAACTTAGAGTTTTTATGAAAATCAAAAGAACTGCGGATGCTGCAAATCAGGGACAAAAACAAAGTTGCTGGAAAAGCTCAGCAGGTCTGGCAGCATCCGTGAAGAAGAAAAA